ATTGTTCTGCCATCCATCTGAGAGTCTGTCAAACATAAATATGAGCACATACACAGACATACATTCACTTGTGCATAAGCAGATAGATATGTGTACTTTAAACGATTGATTGCATTTTTTGAAGCATAAAAGTTGGCACTTTTCGATCACTTTCTGGATTTCGTCGGGATGCTTGCCAAACAGCCTGTTTAGCGTACTTATTTGACAGATGTCAATAAATTTAATTAGATACAAATTGAACTAAGTAAGTAGTAAATGATTTAGTTAGTCAGCTAGCAACTGGTAGTAGTAAAAATGTAATCTACTCATAAAGCATCTGTGCTGTTATATTACTTGAACAGAAGTAATTCACTTACTGTGCAAGTCCCTAGTCTCATACTTTAGCAGTAATGAAGCAATTAGTCAGTACTTAATTAGCAATCTGTACCATACTCTGTTTGTATTTGCACAAATAATTAAAAAATGAAGAAGTAATTGCGAGTTAATTAATTTACACCATCTCACATATGTCTTCTCACTCAATCACAAAGATTACTGCATGGAATTGAATTGGAAATGGTAATTATTCTGGATTTCAGATATTTTTTTCTATACTCTTCGGAGCAATTTTCTGCTTTACTCTTTTGTGGCTGCTTGAAAATGAAATGTCCACTTTTTTATGAAGCTGCTAAATGTCTTGTTTAAGTATGTGGCAAAATTAGTATTTATTTATTTGGCTTCAAAAAAAGCATTATTAATGTGGTGTGGTGATAGACAGCCAGACATGTTCAAGGAAATACCACGACATCCCGGGAAAAGATTCATTTCGAGGACTTGTTAGAAATATGTGTTTAAGCGGTGTGCTGTCCAAGTCATTTCCGTTGAAAATTTGCCTAACTCTTCAGCGTTACGTTACGTACTTACTAAAAATAGTAGTGATTTATTTAATGAGCGAGCATTTTGATTCATTCGTTCTGCTTTTGAGAGATCACTGATTTATGCAAACTCTCGAGGGAGGTAGAAAGAGAGAGCATTATATCTTAGAGCCTAGAGCCTAGAGCCTAGAGCCTAGGCCTAAAGCTTAGAGTTCAAGGCTTTTGCCCTCACTCAGTTAATTTTATTCATTCCTTTGCTACCTTTACACCACTCCTAGCTTTAACAACATGCTTTTCTTGAGTCATTGAGTGAGTAGACAAATCAGTTCGTCTGTTAGTTAGTCAGTCATTCAGTCAGTTAGTCATTTAGTCAGTTAGTCAGTCATTCGCTCAATCATTCCTTGATGATCTCCCTAGCACAGAAATAATTAAAACATTAACGAGGGTCATTAACGACTTTCCTCCTGTCCATTCCATTCTCTCCCGGCACAATTCGGCAGTTTTTCATTTCTTCTGGCTCTTTCTTTTTGATTTTTCATTATTATAGCATAAATATAAATTGCATTAATTAATTAATTCTTTAATTGGTCATTATTATAAAAAGCACGCAAGTGATTACAATTTCTAGCCTTATCAGGTCTTTATCTGCCGTGTATTTATTTTCCTTTTCCATTTCATTTTTTGTCTCATACATTATTTTTCAATTGAAGAAATGCCATCTCACGCAATCTATTTTTAAATTTAGTTTTATATTTTTATGACATTTTTCATTTCTTACTCTCTGCTCTTTTACTAGTAATAATAATGGCAGTAAACTGTAATGCATAGTAGTAGATGATGAAGTGAGAAACTTTTGTAACTTTTCTTTGTACTCATTTTGGTGTTATTTTATTTATTTTATTTCACACTTATTTATTCATTCTAATCTTAGCAGACCAAATGAAGCGTAACTGATAATACTCTGAAAAATGTAAGCTAGATTCTTTATGCTGTTAATTTCAAAGGTGCCTTTAATACATTTTAGCGATATCGCAATCATTTCAGTAATTTTGTTAAATTATTCATCATTGATTATTACTATATCTCTCAGATAATGTGCTCTTAGAGTGTTAATATGAGTGATGCACAGAGGATATTTGCCATGGAAACGTAATATAATTTTTAGGCTTTTTTTGTTCCCTCTATAAACTACCATTATAGCAAAAGCTTAAAAATAAGCCAAGTACTGCATTTTAAAGTGTTATGTAAAAGTTATTACTCATAAATATCACAATTTTTATATTAATGCAATCAATAGCTTATATTTAAGAAATTATTAGATACGTGTGAATAAAAGCGTTTATATTAGACGGATTTGACTGATTAAGTGAAACGAAATGGAAGAAAAGTTTTGGTAGGATTGAGGGAACACTCACTCTCAACAAATGCAATGTAATAACGTTTCAACGATTTTCTCGAGATGAATTCTCGAAATATTAAGTAGTCTAAAAAGCAAGCAATCAAAAACTTCAAATTCTTCGCTATTTGGTGCTTTTTTTACCATTTTCAAGCGAACATTTTCGTTCTTTACATTATAAAAGCTATTTATAAGTCAGATTACTTCTCTAAGTAAATTTTAGGCAAGTTATAGTGCATGAGAAAGGAACTACTTGTTTTATTTGCAGTTGCACTACAAAAGGTGAAGAATAAAACTGTCATTTGGTCATTTCTGATGAAAAGCAAAAGTGAAAGTATCAGTTAATAACATTATTGACCTTATCAATGTGCAAGTGTTGAAGAGATGTACCTAATAACAAATATTTTGTTTAAACAGTTGCTGACTAAGATTGATGGTAACCAAATGTTTAAACTTATAGCAGATAAGTGTGCAAATAAATCTAAACTTTTCCACCACGAGTATAAAAACTAAAAGTGGCTAAGGTAAAGTACTCTATAAGAGATTTGAATAATATATTCGGAGGTGTTATATTGAGAATTTAAATTACTGTAATGATTCAGATTTCTCAAAAGTAAGTAAGTAAGTAGATGTAGAAGTAAAAGTATGAGAATAAACTGATTATTATGAAAAATACCATTAAGAGTATACATTCATTACTAATCGCTTAAGTTTTATAACAAAGGAACTTTTCATGCTAACTTTGGATAAGAACTCTCCTTCAAAACGAGTAATTATTTGGAAATTGTAAGCTATAAAATGCAAATATAAAATTATTTGAAGTACTTCCATTTTCCAAAGCAATTTGAATAAAATTCACCATATGTGTTCTTCCTTAATTATTTGTATTTGCAAAGTAGTTCATATCTTGCACACTAATTGATGCAAAGTTTTTGCGCTTAAGGGGAGAATCGCTGACCCCCTTAAGGAGAAATGCTGACCCGAGCAGAGTTTTGTGTTTAACCAACAATTTTTTTTATTTTTTCTTATGCAAATTATGATCTAACACAAGAAGTTAATTGCTCTATTTTTGTTATATTAATGGTTTATGCCTAATAAAAGTAACTATCTACAGTTTTAATGACATTGCGATTATGCAAAAGCAAAATTTTTAAATTATAAATCATTTTATTGCAGACTATTATCACTCTACCACCTTTATTTTCGAGTATTGTTGGCAGTGCATGCTTATTGATATTACTATCAATATTAATATTGCTGTTATTAAATGATGATGAAGGATAATTTTTAAATGATACACTGTAATAACAATAAATACGATAGCAACAAGAATAATACGATAATGAAGATGGTCAACGACCGGATTAGCTTTAAAGGGATTAGTATTAGACCAGACTAGTGCTAAAAAGGAACGTACTCAGTGGGATACTGTAGGAAGATATTGAGAAATTCTTTAAAAAGACAAGAAAAGTGGGTGCACGGAAGAAGCGAACTTTTTGGGAGGGAAAGAAAGTATGCGAAGCGATGAAGAAGACGTAGATATGGCTGATGAAGCAGTTGGCATGCTCTCTGCAGCTGAAGCAGAACAAGTTGCTGGAGGAGCTCGATCTCTATCTGGTGGCTTGCAGACTTCAATGGCAAAAGGTTCAACTTCTGGACATCATACTTTTCCTGAAATGGTGAATACAGTCTAATAATTTTTAATCAAAATATCAGTTTAACAATTCAAATCAATTTAATAATGAAACAGTTTACTAGAAATAACAGATATATTCAGATGTTGTCGAAAGGTAAATCAAAAAATGATTATTCATTTTTTTATTTTAATTATTCGGGAAGCAAATTAAAGATTATGATTTTGCAATATAAACAGTGACTGTAAGTTTGTGGTGAAAAAATACAAAATTATAAACATACTAATAATGAATTCTATTTTGTTTTATATTTCTCAGTTAAAATAAATTATTTTATAACGAAAAATTTTTCCTATTTAAATTGATTTCCACTTGTGCCACGGTAAGCATGTTATTGTTGGAATAGCAATAATAATAATATAAATAATAACGATAATAATAATAATATTCGTTTTCTTTAGTCTTCTATTTTTGAGTTTTACTGTTATAAATACTACGAAAATATCTTTTCGTTTTTTTGAGCAAATATTACTTTCAATTTTTACCAGTGAAATGGTGTGATATATGAAGAACCATATAAAGTTGTCAAGATATATTTCAAAATTAATTACTAAGTTGATGAATAATGTATTAATTGAAAAAATACTTTCAAAGCACCTGAACACAGCAACTGTTAAACTTGAAGAGTAATTAAATGAGCGCATTTGAATTATATTTGATAACAATTTTAATTTCTTGGACAGTAATTAAGTTCCAATGCTAGTATTCAATTATTTTATAATAGATAAGTTTGTAATAGATACACGATCGCTCGATGAGTTTATCGCATGTGCTCTTGTTTGATCGAGTATCAAGGAGATGGTGGAACCCGCAGTTTACATCTGCAGCTTTAGAAGCTCAGTACTGGAAATGTACCTTTCCCCAACTCAGGGATAGGTTCAGGTAGGCGATGTTCATTTTATTTTACTTGAGGTTTTGTCATAGGTTGTAAATTTATTAAAATTTACTTAATCAAATGTTTTTTTGGAATGCAGCAATTGTCAGTTGTGAATTGTAACTTTCTTTTCTCTTTTGATTTTACTTTCCTAAACTAATCACTTAGAAGAGCTATGTAAGTATAAAAGTTATTTAAGCGTTGCCTGCTTTTATGTATTTGCAATTTTTAACTTAAAAAATTTCGAAAAGGCCTTTTTGTTCTATTGTTTTCCAGCATTGAATAAGATGGATTTGTACATAGTGAAGTACTAATAACAGAAACAGAAAATTTTTTCATCTAATAGAATACAAAGTTGTTTATTTTTATTGAATACATCGTGCACAATTTCAAAAATTTCTATTCCCAAAAATGCTTCATCAAGCATGGAGTCTTATCACTTCATAAGTTATTGTTTTTTTTACTTTGATCAATGTCAAGGGTTAAATTTGGTTTTAATGAGCAGTTGCTTGCAGTTTTAATTTTGGCTTTCAAATGTTTA